TCTCTCTCTCTCTCTCTCTCTCTCTCTCTCTCTTATGTTACTGGAGTCTCGACAAACTGATCCATCCTGTCGTCCAATCCCACGTATGTCTCTGTTGTCTCGACCAACGAGACTGCAATGAATCTGAACCGCATTGAGGCACGCATCGCCCCTCAGCAAGCTACTCGGCGCCCGCGACTCCCTGTACCCTCGTCGTCGTCGGATGCACGATCCCTTGCAACAGTCCATTCCGGAGTTGTGGTGTGGACAATCTGCAAGAATTGCTGCGAAAGTCAGCGCCGAGGTCCACACGAAGGAATGAACTTGGCCGAGAAATCCTCGTCATTGCAAACAAAATATGGCGGACTTACAACAAGTCGCCACACACCGTCCCGATAAACAGTGCCGTAGTGTGTTTCCAGTATATGAAACACAAGCGGGTAGATAATATCATACATTTTATCTCCTTCGACAGGATTCATAACGAGGCTATTGAAGTACCAAGTGGGCCTGGACATGAGCACCCGAACGTGGTGGATGGCATGATGATGAATGTAAGTCTTTGTTGTGAGTCTTATGACTCGTTCGTCTTATGACTCGTTCGTCTTCCACGGCGACAACAAAATGCCGATCCTCCATTTTGTGCCTGTCTTTGTACTCCAACACCTGTTCGACAGGCTCTGTAACCGAGTTTTGCGACTCGCAAATAATATACGTTCTCGCCCGTACGGAGTTTCGTGGAATTGTAGCATTGGAAAATCATTGGCGCCAACCGCATAGTCGTTGCTTACGAATGGGGAGTCGAGGAAGCTGCCGAACACAGAAAGCTTCATCGTAAGCAACAGAGCAACGGATTTGCATGATACAAAGGTCAGGAGCACAAGACGTGTCTTCTTCTTCGATCAGCACATCTTCTTCTTATTTTTCTTAATCTTTTTCTTCTTCTTTTTGGTATTCATCATTTTCTTCTTCGACTACTTATTGTTCTTGTTCTTATTCGACTACAAAGGTCAGGAGCACAAGGCGTGTCTTCTCGCGTCTCGTGATTGTGTGTGTGTGTGTGTGAGAGTGTGTGTGTGTGTGTGTGTGTGTGTGTGTGTGTGTGTGTGTGTGTGTGTGTGTGTGTGTATGTGTGTGTGTGTGTATGTGTGTGTGTGTGTGCGGGTCGACAAAAAACGAGGTGTGAATGTTGCTTCCGTTTCCGGTGATTAGTCTATATATATAACTGTTGCACACACACACACACACACACACACACACACGCAACTGGCAGACGATGTATGATAATAACAACAATATAAATCACAGATCTGTATGTCACATCATATGCATGTCACATCA